ACTGTGAGACAATAAAGTTCTGTCCTTCAAGTCAGTCAGTCTCTGGCATGTTGTTACAGCAGCCTGAGGAAGCGAATACTTTGAGAAGCTTAAGTTAAGTTTCTTCCTTTGATCCTTGGGTAGAATTATAGGGGAATAGCCTGAATCTCTGGACACGTCTGGTCCAGAAGAAGGACATCTTGAGGAAAAACATCCTTTCCCGAACCAAGCAAGGCTTTCAACAGCTTCCCCATGGAGTTTTCAATGACAAATGGGGGCTGTACCTGCACCAGCTCAGGCAGGTGCTGGAAGATTCTGGTCAACTGTGGCTACAAAAAAAAAGGTGAAGGTACTTCATCCGAGTGGGAGGCTGAGATTTCATGGGAGAAGAGGTATTTTTGGGGGACAAGCGTGTGAGGGAAGCAGGCTGCCTCTATCCTCATTTATCCCTGAGTGTGCTTTAGATTACACGCTCCCACATACACTGCAAGGCGCCTTCCGTTTTATTTTTCTTCCAGGCTTCTCCTCCTTCTGTCGGATCTAAACATTCCATAGGGGACTCAAGCAGACGGAGGAGAGGGTCTCGGTGGGAAAGGGCCAAGCCAGCCAGGCCTGGGAAGCTGGCAGCTTCCTTGGAGAAGATCTAAGTGCACTGGCTGCTGAGTGACCATGAATGAGCCATGTTCCAGAATCTTCATTCCTTCCTTTGAAAACAAGCAGCCCTGGTGACTTACAGAATGATTTGCTTTCTAAAGGAGAGTTGAGAGGCAACAACATGATGTTTTCAGGCATCAGGCTTCTATTCAGTCTCTGAAAGGGCCCTTCCCAGGGGCTCTGCGCTCTACAGGGGAGTCTCACTTCCTGGACCAGTCGACGCCCCTGGCTGGAAAGCAGAGAAGGGCCAGAGGGCGTGTTTCGGGACGACCAAGAAGCCACCCGAGCTTCGGACACAGAGAACCATGGTCCCTGTCTGGTTTCTGATGTGGTCTTTGCAGGTGGGTGGTAAACTGGATCTCAAGCAAATAAAATGGAATCATGTGGATTGAACATTTCTCTCCGGAGAATAACCAGCTTGGTAAAGGAAAAGAACCAGACCTGAGCTAACAGCTAAGATCACACACTTAGGCTGACCACCTCCTAGGGTCTAGCCTGGAGGGCTCCCCAGAAGTGACCCAGACAGAGAGCAGTGTGGTCTTCCATTTGGGTGGGTCTCCGATGGGTTGACAGACTCCAGTGGGCTGAGTTTCCATGGGCCAGAGGTCACGGGAGATGCAAAGCCTTCCTCACGTAGCCCTGAGAAGGGCCCTTAGACCTGTGGACTCTATGCTTTTTGCAAACTCTATCAATAGGGGTGCCTGGGGAGCTCTATCGGTTAAGCATCTGACTCTTGATTTCAACTCACATCACGATCTCAGTTTTGTGAGTACGAGCTACATGTCGGGCTCTCCCTGGAGCCTGCTTGGGATTCCCCCTCCCTCCCTCCGTCTCTCCCTCCCACCTCCCCTGCTCATGTTTTCTGTCTCTCTCAAAATAAATAAACGTAAACAATTATAAAAGACATAAAAGAAAATTCCATCAGTAAAATCTAGGCATGCGCCTTCACATGTGCCATTTCTTTTAGCTACATACGTACTGCACTCATATACCATGCACATACATACACACAGGCAATCAACTTAAAAAGAATGAAACAAATACATTTAAGTAGAAGCTCTGCTACCTGTATACCCCGACACCCCAGTGGATGAGCTAGCTCACCCCTTGGTTCTCTGCGCCCATCCTGAATCTGTATACAGAAGGCGCAGAGCAAATGTGCACCCAGGGGACCATGCTCATGTCTCAAGGGCAGCCCACATTTCTCAAAGGGCAACTGACTCAAATCACTATTGATGGTCAAAACGTCCAGATGACTCACTGATAGAGGTTTTGGACAGTGTGCCCCATGGCATCCATGAGAATGTATTTTTGGAAGGACAACAATTTTGCATTCTTATGTAGAAACTCTGCCTTAATGCTTGACATCTTTGACGTGGCGTTTCCGCTTCCCACCCCCGAGCCGAGAGGCTTCTTGGAATGCTGCACTGTTTGTTTCTTTATGCTATTAACACTGCCAGGCTAAAATTATGTTTTGTATCTTCCTTGTCACTCGCGCACCGCAGACTTGGCCACCTGCTTTGCAAAGTGCATAAGATTTCCACCTGATGGCACTACCTCCAACAGCCCAGGAATGCCACAGCCCGACGCAGATTCCTAACGTTCTTTTAGCTACTTTTTCGATAATTAAGCTCATCTATGGCGGAAGGTGATCAGAGGACCTAATGTGATCCCCTTGGGTTAGGAAGGGAGGGCCCAGGGAAGGCAGATGCCTGCTCAGGAAGCTACAGGAACCAGAGCTAGCTGCCTGCAACTACCTCTCTCTACTACCATCACCTTCTGGTTCTCAGAAACTGCCCTCCATTTGGCCCCGGCTTCAGGATGAATGCAGCACGGAGCTGGGTTCTCATTCTAACCCTTGGGTGTAATCAGTGGCTACACTATGTTGAAGATGACCTTGAGGTGCACACTGGCCTGGCCGCCGGATTTGCTGGACTCTGTACTAACTGTCAGCCCACTAAACACTTCTGACCATCCTCTGTCTTTAGCTCCACTTTCTACAGCCTGGCTACAGAGACCCAGGGTCTTACCGCAAGGACATTAACTCCTTAGCTGGAAGAGTGAGCCAAGAAGAGGTGAACTTGGAGGAAGGATGCAGGCCAGCTCAACACCTTGAAGGTGCCCAACACTGCCCTCCCTACCCCCCCCTTTCTCCCCCTAGGCCACCATCAAGGTGAAAAAAGCTTGCGAACGGTAACCTTCAGTGGATTTTAGGAATTCCAAGCAGTAGCTAAGTGCCGTTAGAAGAGGAAGGGTTGGGAAGCATTGATGTTCAAGGATAAGGCTTCATATGCAGAGGACTTTTTCTGGCATGTGCATGGTCTCGGTCTCTTCCCATCTGCCGGCCCATCATGGCGGCCGTACAGGAACTCAGGCTCAGGCATGAGAAGCTGAGGGTTACCTCCCTTTTCGGGAGTACGTTCTGGGACAATGTCCCGTTTTACTTTGTTGCTTACCTCCAGGTGGAACAGCTCTACAGCGGGTAAGCAGAGAGGCCAGCCGCACACCTGCTTTCTACACCGCCCCCCGATCTATCATCCCCCAGGGAAGATGCCGCCTCCCAGGCAGCCAGATGTGCTGGCTTCTCCATCACATCACGTCCCCCAGAGAATCCCCCCATTTTCCCCCTCACATGCCTGGGCTCATCTTGTTCGGCAGTGAAGCCGGACAAGCAGGAAGTAAGGAGAAAGATTATAACAGAGGCTGCTGATCTTCGGCATGAGGGAGATGCCCTTGGAGAAAAGCGACTGCTCCTTCTATTTTCTCCTAGTTCCCCAAAGGACGGCTCTATACGGAACAAGCTGGTTCAGGACGCAGCCCACACCTATGGTCGCCCATCCCACCCCCAGAAAGAGGATCTGGTCACACCCTTGGAGGACGATGGTCTCCAGGAGGGATGATTGAGGAATGAGGTTCTGAGTAGTTGCTGCAGGAGGAGAATGAGCCCAAGGGGTGAGAGTTGCATGGACAGAGATTTCTGTCCCACGACAGGAACAATGTTTAACAAGCCAACAATGGGACAGACTCCCTAGGGCGCCACAATAAGCTGTCACCATAGTATTCAGAGCGCTGGATCGCAAAACTCCAAACATGTTACCACATTCGATGAGCGTGCGCATGCATGTGTGCGTGGCACGGTTACAGATTTGCATCCTAGGACTTTAAAGACGGCAGAACGGAAGGCCAACGCGTCCACCAGTGGTGAACAATTTACACGGTCCTGCCCCACTGAAACAGCATCCTCCAGAATGAACCCACGCTGACCACGCGAAAGTAAAGCTGCCCCTTAAGTAAAGGACCAAATCCGTTGGGAGGCGAGAGCACCAGCAGCCCACTGGGTGACGTCTATGCCTCAGGAAGCTCTTTACACACCACCTTCCTCACGTGTGCTTGAGAAGACAATGAAAGCTCCCTGGTGGGCTTGATGGCAGGAGAAAACGAAATAACAGAAAACAGTGTTTACTGTGGGCCAGGGATGGGTCTGAAGGCTTTACTTATGCTTCTGAATTCGTACAGCTCCCATTTTACAAATGCGGAAACACAGGCAGAGAGAAAAACTGACTTCCTCAAGGCTACTGTGCTAAGAAGAGACAGAGCACAGCTCACACGCTGGGCACAGTGCCTGGTTCAAAGGGGCTCAGCGTGAAGGCACTTAGAACAGAAAGGCGGTGTAATACACCTGGTCGAGAGGGGGCGCTCTGGAGCCATCCTGCGCCGCAATGTGCAGGTACCTCTTCCACCTCTGGTGTTCTCCTCTGCAAAATGGGCACCCGGATGTCCATTTCATAGGGAGCCTCAAAGATTAAATGATTTAATACATGAAAACCGTGTAGAAGAAATACCAGGCAATCATATGCGCTCTGCAAATGTTATCTGATACCACATCAATGTGCCCTAGATTATAGACACACACGCACGGGTGTTTAATACGTTAACAGAACACACTTGCTACGCCTGTGCCTGTAATAGCCGTACATATGCGTAACCGCTCAGGTTAGCAATGAGGCACGATTCACCTCGGGTCCCCACTATTTGCACAGTAGGGCAGAAGATGTATTTAACCGACTGCTTTGGGCCTCGCCAAACCACAGGTATCAGGTCGTCCCACCTACTGGATGCTGGTGGTTATTCTCCCTGGGGAGCTGCCGCTTCAGCTTCTCCCTGAACCTTCGTTCAAGTAACATTCCTGAGATCTGATGGAGTCTTGGAGAGAAAGGGACTATAAAAGCAATCCTGGCCAAGAAGTGGAAAGCGTTGCATGGCTCTTCCCCGCAGGGAGCTATTCAAGAGACCCCGGGACTGATCTGGGAACGGAGACGGGATTCTACTCAAGTCCGCACAGCGGACAGACCGTCGGGCTGACCTACCTGGTGAGCTTGCTGCCGATCTGCTGCCTCAGCTCCAGCCTCTCTTCATCCGTCTGCCTGGGAAGGATGTTCTTTTCTTCCAGCTCCCGCTTGGAGGGCCTATTGCTGAGTTTGATGGCTAAGGAGTCCTTCCTGCACACCTTCATGGCCAGGGAGGCTGCGGGAGGGAGAAAGGACTCGTTAATGCTGATGCAAAGCTGCCTGTGCTCCTCGGCAAGGCTGTGCCACAAGGTTAAAGGCAGGAAGGCAGACACAGCGGGTTTAATAGCTGGGAGTGGTAAGGCCTCATTCAAAGCACTCAGAGTTTCTGGGAGCAACGGGTTCTATAAACCTCGCGCTATCTTGTGCATGAGGAGCACACGGGGAGCCCGGGATTGGGTCCCAGCTCCCTAGGAACCCCCCACAGGCAGGCAGCATCACAGAGGAGGGCTGGCCGGGACCTGGGGGTGCAACAGAACGTGGGACAGAGAGTGGTCAGAGGTCCCGAAGAGCTGCGGGTTTGGCTTCCAAGGTAAGAAGCGGTTGGTTGGCGTCCGCAGGGCAGAGGCCACTAGGAACCGGCAGCTGCAGGCAGCCCGCCGCAGGGGAGAAGGCTTCGCGATGACGGAGAAGCCGGGGCATCGCAGGAGAGAGCTGGCGGGGAGCCAGGGGCGTGTGAAGGAAAGTAGAGCTGGGCAAAGTGGGGGGAGTTTGGGGCGAGAATGGAAGCAAGATCGTTCAAACAGGGAACATTCTGGGATTGAGTGGGGGGGGGAAGGCTTCCTTACGTCTGGAATACATCTAGGGTTCTCAACCAAGGGCGATGTTGCACCCCCTTTCCCCTCCCCCCATCAAGGACACACTTGGCAAAGCCTAGAGATATTCTGCAGTTGTCAAAACTGGGGTCTGGCAGGGAAGGGGGGAGCATGCTCCTGGCATGTGGTGGGCAGAGGCTGGGGGTGCAGCCGAACATCCTCTAAGCCCCGCAACGAAGAATGATCTGGTCTGAATGTCAGTGGTGCCGAGGCCGAGACACCCTGGTATGAATCATTCAATTCTCCAGGCAGGAAACGGTGAGCAGAGGCGGGGCACCGCCCCCACTCATGGGTCACTTGGGCCCCTCTGCGGTTCTCTCTCCTCCACATTATTTTGCCCACCTTGCTTGCTCACCAGCAAGAGAAGACAACTAGTTTGTCTGAAGCCTGGTGCGTGTAAAGCAACAGGGAGAGGCTGGGAAGCAGCACGTTGGGGCGGGGGGGGGGCTCCTTTGGATTTTATTTAATAGTGCTGGTCTTTCTTCCTCGATTGCTCTTTAAAAATTTTTTTTTAATGTTTATTCATTTTTGAGAGACAAAGAGAGACCGAGTATGAGCAGGGGAGGCACAGAGAGGGAGACACAGAATCCAAAGCAGGCTCCAGGCTCTGAGCTGTCAGCACAGAGCCCAACGCGGGGCTTGAACTCATCACGAGTGTGAGATCATGACCTGAGCTGAAGTCAGATGCTCAAACAACTGAGACACCCAGGTGCCCTGGTCTTTGTTTTTTTGTTTTTGTTTTTTTTAATTTTTTAAAAATGTTTATTTATTTTTGAGAGAGCAAGAGCGGGGAAGGGGCAGAAAGAGGGACAGAGGATCCAAAGCGGGTTGTACGCTATCAGCACAGAGCCCGACATGGGGCTTGACCCCACGAACCGTGAGATCACGACCTGAGCCAAAGTCAGATGCTCAACTGACTGAGCCACACTGGACTTAGAATGAGGGCCTGGGAATGAGACCTAGCTGGCATCAAATCCTAGTGCCGCCTCTTAGATGTGAGGCTCTGGGCCGGGTCCTTTCCTTTCCACGTTCTTCCTTACCTGTGAAATGGGGCAATGGCACCCAGGCCACCAGGTGCTGTAAGACGCACAGAAGAGGTAAAATTGTACCATACTGGCAGGCACACAGTAGGTATTCAGTAAAAGGTTGCTATTCTGTAACTTCACTAAAAAGTGGACCAAATAGGGGCACCTGGGTGGCTCAGTCCATTAAGTGCCCAACTCTTATTTTGGCTCAGGTCATGACCTCATGGTTTGTAAGGTCCAGCCCCACATTGGGCTCTGTGCTTGAAGTGCAGAGTCTGCTTGGGATTCTCTCTCTCCCTCTCTCCCTCTGCCCCTCCCCTGCTTGCTCTCTTTCTCTCTCTCTCTGAAAATAAGCAAACATTAAAAATTAAAAAAAAAACACAAAAAAATGCTGACCAAGTAATCAGTCTGTCCTCATGTAACTAAAATTTGTTATTCACGAATGGCCAGAATGACAGATTTTGAACGTTGCCTGTTTTTTCATTGCTTCTCTCGTTTCTCTGCAGATATAAAGGCCTTAAATGAGAAATTTAAATTCAGGCCTTCTGGAGCGTTGAGGTACGGTTGAAAATGAATTTGTTGCAAACACAAAGGCTAGGGTTGCTGAGTATTTTGTGGACCGGACCTGAGTTTCAGGGTCGCCCCCCCCCTTTTTTTTTTTCCCAAGGAAGGAGGTCGGATCCCAAGGGAAGCAATCAAAGGAAGAAAAAGCCATCTAGATCAGAAGCGGCAGCGTGGTGAGGTGGTGGTGCAATTTCTGCAGCCATGAGGGTATCTGAAGGACGTTTTACCTTCTCCCCTTTCAACTTCCTCACAGAGCTGCCCTACGACCCCCCCAGCCCAACCCCTGCCCCGCCACGGGACACCTGAGTCTGCACTGGAACCCAGAGGGCCAGGCAGCCCCACCCCCTGCCCCGCAGGCCACGCCCTCCCACCCCCAGGGAAGGGCTGGGGTGTACGCACTGGTGTACAGGGAGCTGTCGTCTTCCTCCTCCTCCTCCTCCTCCTCTCTTGTGTAGAGGCAGGAAGAGTCTTCGTAGTCTGATTCATGAGGCACATTTTCTTTATTGTCATCACATTCAATCACGACAGTTGGCACTTGTCTCATTTCTGGAAGGCCCAGGGGCCCTGCTTTCGGGACGCCATCGCCGGAGTGCAAACCAGAGCTGTGGTAAGAGCTGGAACAGGGGACCCGCTGCTCAGAGCTGTTTAAAAGGCAAGGAGGGGAGAGGCCATTAAGTCTGGCCAACATGTCCCATACGTGCATCAGACCCTTTTTAACACTTGCTGTTTTTAAACAACAACAAGTTGTCCCCGTCCTGTGGGACAAAGGGTCTGCCGGGCAATTCAAGTCTCATTTCTTATCTTCCAGCTAAACATTTCAGGGCAGCAGAATTTCCTGACGCACGGGGATGAGGCTTACACGTCAGCGTGGACCGACTCAAGGCTTCTCAACTGTACCTTTTAAAATGCTTGGGATGGTAAATTATTATTGTCTTGCGCATTTATCACAAGAAGAATACGTGATTTATTTTCTTAAATAGTTTACTGTCAAGTTGGTTTCCATATAACACCCAGTGCTCATCCCCACAAGTGCCCTGCTCCATGCCCGTCACCCCCCTTCCCCTCCCCCCCATACCCATCAGTCCTCAGTTTGTTCTCAGCATTCAAGAGTCTCTCATGGTTTGCCTCCCTCCCTCTCCCCCACTATTTCCCCCCTTCTTCTCCCCCACGGTCCTCCGTTAAGTTCCTCCTAATCCACCTATACGTGCAAACATAGGGTATTTGACCTTTTCTGCCTGACTTATTTCGCTCAGCAAAACACCCTCAAGTTCTATCCATGTTGCTATAAATGGCCAGATTTCATTCTAAAAAGAATACGTGATTTTTAAAAGAGAAGTTGAATTCCAGAAATATTTATGGGTAAGATAAATATCTCCAAGCGTCAAAGGAAGGGTCATTTGCAAACCCACATGCTTCACAGGAGTAAAAGCACTGATTTGAGGGTAAAGCTAGGGATCAAGGAAGAAAGAAAGAACGCATGAGGTTCCAGCTTTCAAAGCTACACAGCATGACTGGTAGGGGCTGAGTGTGGGAGAGACTGAAATAATTTTTAAAAATCTTTTAATGTTTTATTTATTTCTGAGAGAGAGAGAGAGAGAGAGAGAGAGAGAGCGTGAGCAGGGGAGGGTCAGAGAGAGAGGGAGATATAGAATCTGAAACAGGTTCTAGGCTCTGAGCTGGCTGTCAGCACAGAGCCCAATGCAGGGCTCGAACCCACAAACCATGAGATCATGACCTGAGCAGAAATCAGACGCTTAACTGTCAGAGTCACCCAGGTGCCCTGAGGCTGAAATAATTAAAAAAAAATTTTTTTTAATGTTTGTTTATTTTGGGGGGGGGGGAAGGGCAGAGACAGAGAGGGAGACACAGAAGCCAAAGCAGGCTCCAGGCTCTGAGCTGTCAGCACAGAGCCCGACATGGGGTTCAAACCCAGGTACTGTGAGATCATGACCTGAGCCAAACTCAGAGGCTGAACTGAGCCACTCTCATGGTGCCCCATGAGATTGAAATAATTTTGAATATCATGGATGGAGATGCAGAGGAAGAGCAGAGGCGGGACCATGAGGTTAGAGACACAGGCATGACCTTCATGTGGACAGCGTCATGCATGCCTTAGACGATTTGTCTCCCAAGGACAATGTCAAACTCTCATCGGCCACAGGTCATGTTACTCTGGTTATTTTGTAGATCAGCTGCCCAGGGGGCAATGATGATGTCCTTGGCTTTACCTCTTAAGTTGAACCCATTCAGCTAAAATATATATTTTAACTAAAAATAGTTTGCTTCATTATGAAAACCATGTAAGTTCACTGTAGGCAAACTGGGAAGCGCATATCAAAATTAAAAAAAAAAATAGGGGCGCTTGGGTGGCTCAGTCAGTTAAGCTTCTGACTTCAGTTCAGGTCATGATCTCATGGCTTGTGAGTTCAAGCCCTGCATTGGGCTCTGTGTGGACAGCTCAGAAGAGCCTGGAGCCTGCTTCAGATTTTGTCTCCCTCTCCCTCTCTACCCCTCCCCTGCTCAAGCTCTGTCTCTGTCTCTCAAAAATAAACAAACATTAAAAATATTTTTTAGATAGTTATTTTTTAATGTTCATTTATTTGGGAGAGAGACAGACACAGCATGAGCCGGGGACGGGCAGAGTGAGAGGGAGACACAGAATCTGAAGCAGGCTCCAGGCTCTGAGCTGTCTGCACAGAGCCTGATGTGGGGCTTGAACTCACAAAACCATGACCTGAGCCGAAGTCGGACGCTTAACCAATTGAGCCACCAAGGTGACCCCCAAAATAGTTACTTTTAAAAACAGAGTCTGTCCTAGGCTCCTAGAGCAATTTAGAATCCTTTTTACGACAGGCCCTGAACGAAGTCCAGCAAGAATAAGGGGCCAGAAACAGTGAAATTTTATAATTCTTTTTCAGATTAACTGGAAATGCCTTTACATCTTTCACATAAGGAATTTCTAAACATAGGTGACCGATGCATTTTACCATCCAAAAATGTCTGCCGTTCACAAGGGAGGGTGAGGTTATGCTCTACTATACAACAATAAATTTTACACTAGAATATCTTACCCAAAAGAAAAATTTTAACTCGCGACATATGAATGCATGATCGTCTCCTTTGAAACGTTCATGATACTTGAAATTATTGCGAGGTCTAATTGCAATTCAATTACCATTCTTCCTTCCATTGTTTTCAAAGAGATGTTTTTCTCTCTGTCCTTTGCACATAACTCTTCAGGGACACACGTGGGAAATCTAGTTAACACATTACGACCCATGATGTCCACGGCAATGGACTCAATCGGCTTAAAAAGCCTTCCACTGCTGGGCAAAATGATATCCCACATTTATGAAACTGCAGCATCTTATTAGCCGTTAGCAGTTTTGAGGAGTCCCTTTCCCACCTGATTTAACACAAATGGCAGCGAGAGTGGGAAGGTAGAGAAGGTGACAGATGGGGCACGTGGAAGATGGCGTCTGGGGTGGACAGAAAAGCTGGCTGATGGTGGGGACTCAGGGTGCCCCGAGAGCCGTGGGGCCCTGCCTTTGGGCAACGCACCTACATGCTGCATTTCAGCCGTGCTTGGGTTTCCACACTAGGAATTAAGGGAAATAGATCTGGAAGAGACAAAAATGTCATCCCGTGGCCCCTGTTTTGCCCCACCCCTGCCTTCTCCTGTCCCTCACTAGTGGTTTAATTAGCAATGGTTCTGACAAAGGCACAGAGCTGGGGGTACCAGAGGTAGGAGTGAGGGGATGAAAAGCAGCCACCGGATGTTCCAGGGTGGCGGGAAGCCTGAAGGCAAAATAAGTAACTAAATAACCTCATGGAAACTAGGAAGCCTAAGAATTCCTTAAGATAGAAGATTCCAGGGGCACCTGGGTGGCTCAGTTGGTGAAGCATCCGACTTCGGCTCAGGTCATGATCTCGTGGTTTGGGGGTTCGAGCCCTGTGTTGGGCTCTGTGCTGACAGCTCAGAGCCTGGAGCCTGTTTCAGATTCTGTGTCTCCCTCTCTCTCTCTCTCTGCACTCCCCCCCCCCCAACCCATCTGCATCATCTCTCTCTGTCCTTCAAAAATAAAAAAATTTAAAGACAGGAGGCTCCAAATTTTCTTAAGAGGATGAAGAAAGGAGAAATATTATGCAAATGAAGGTAAGAGCCTCAGCCTCACAGCTAGGCTGTGATAAACAGGAGGCTGTGCTTTTTTCTCCTTCATAGATGCAGGGGAGAGTGAGGCCTTGAGGAGGACATGGCTGTACGGAGGGCCCGCCGGCCACGGTGGCAGGTGTGAGGCATCAGTCCACCAGCGTTGTGAAACAGGGACTGGCCATGATGATCAGCGAGCACCGGATGGGGGCCCTACAGACTTCGGAAGACCCCGCCTGGCCAATCGCTTCATCTTCCTGAAGTATATGCATCTAGCAGGTGACAGAATGTCTAATTTCCACAAGGATAAAAGGTGTCTCCTGGAAAGCAAGGTGAATCCATCAAAAGGGTCTGAGTCATAAACATCCACTGACTGCGAGCTGTATATGAGGCAAGGTCTGGGTGGAAGATAATCCCACACAGTGGGTCACTGTGAGGCCAAAGGGCAGCAAGAAAAAACAACGGAGAGAAGACTTAGCTGAGTGGAGGCTGGAAAGTTTGTTACGGGACCTCAGTCTTAGGAGTCAAGATATATACATCCAAGTTCAAGTTTTGCCATTACCATCAAATCTTTATATTGGGCTAATTATTTAACCTCCCTGAGCCCTAGTCTTCTTAGGCAAAATGAGGTAAATCTACCTTTACAGCAGGGCTCGTGCATGTGATGGAGCCCATGGGCGTGCCTATAAATGAGGCCCTCTCTTGTTATTTACAGAAATAGCCTTCCAAGTGGATTCAAAATACTCTCAGCTTCAGACTACTCACATTGTTGTCAGGGCAACTTGCTAAAACCCCAGATCTCGTTGCTTCGCTCATTGGAACTCCGAATCCTGCCCCGCCCACAAAACCAATGCTCCCAACAGTGACACAAACGGAAAATCCAGTTAACACCTTACGAGCCATACTGGTCAAGGCCAAGGACAAAATCAACATAAACGCCTCCATCCCTGGCATTTGTGGGCAGGAAGGGGAACACCTAGCCGAGCGTTCATCTTAGTAAAGGCTGGTTTTCTATCATAGAGTTGTCACTTAGCAGATTTGCTCCCAGTAAAAGTTCTCGCTGTTAAAGAGAAGTGAAAACCAGCAGCCTAGGAGCAATAAACACGGCATGACGTGCGGTACCCTGCACGATTTGACCCACATTATTATTTTTTTAGTATAATTTATTGTCAAGTTGGCAAACATACAATGTATACAGCGTGCTCTTGGTTTTGGGGGGTAGATTCCCGTGGTTTATGGCTTACATACAACACCCAGTGCTCATCCCAACAAGTGCTCTTCTCAATGCCCATCACCCATTTACCCCTCTTCTCCACCCCCCCTCACCAACCCTCAGTTTGTTCTCTGCATTTAAGAGCCTCTTAGGATTTGCCCCTCTCACTCTCTGTAACTATTTTTCCCCCCTTCCTTTCCCCCCATGGACTTCTGTTAAGTTTCTCAAGTTCCACACAGGAGTGAAAACATGGTATCTGTCTTTCTCTGCCTGACTTA